GCTGTGGGGGGGCAGGGGCGGCTGTGGGGGCGCATGGGTGGCTGTGGGGGCGCATGGGTGGCTGTGGGGGCGCATGGGTGGATGTGGGGGTGCATGCACTTGTTTGAACCGCTGTTGCAGTTGTTTTGGGGGTACTTCAGCATCTTACAGAGAAAAGAGGGATGAGCCTGGGGCCTCAGACCCACCTTGACGGGTCCCCTCCTGGGAGGGAGTGGTTTGACCCACCAGCTGGGGCTCAGAGGAATCCTGGGAGCGCTGCCCGGTTATGGTCATTGTCCTACGTATGTTTATGCTTGGCGTTGGCCTCTGATGCCTCACCTTCGACCCCTGAACCGGGAGCCTGATCTGAGGTGAGGCTGCGAGGCTCTTATCCAGCCTGCCTTCCGTGGCCGCCCACGGTCCCCTCCCTGCCCAGCTGCAGCCGCTGCCCTGGCCGCCTGTCGCCTCAGGCTCCTCCTCGGCATCTCCCTCTCTCCGTCCCCGTCTCTCTGTGTCCGTGTCTCTCTCTGTCCCTCGCTCCCTACCCCGGAGGCTGACCAGCGACTGTGTCATTAGGTGCAGCTTAATTAAAACCCTATAAATCTCATAACCAAATAAGGTGGCGGGGCCAGCCCTGTGTGCAAACAAGCATCCGTGTGCCCTCTGCCCTCTGGGATGGGGGGGCCGGGCGGGGGTGGGGCTGTGAGGTGGGACAGTCCTCCTGTGTCTGGGCACCTTCCCGCCTAACCACGCCCACACCGCCTTGGCCGGCCTTGCTGGGCCTGACGCTGCCCTCTGGGACAGGCCTCGGGTCTCGGGGAGCCGCTTGGGGTCACGCGTAGGGGGTGGAGCGTGGCCGGCGGCCTCAGGGCTGTGTGTGGTCCCGTCCTGGGGTCCTGAGCTGTAGCTGTGCGTGTCTGAACACAGACCTGTAGACCCACTGCTGCCAGTGCTGTGGGGTGCAGCATGCCCGCCCAGGACGCCGGCCACGTGGGGTACAGAAGGCGCGAGGACCAGGGTCCGACCCACAGAAATCACCATCCACAGGGTCCACTCTGACCCCGAGTCTGCCGGTGGGGCTGGAAGCCAGGGTCTCCGCGTGCAGAGGGCCTCAGTGAGCCTTCCATGCTCGAAGGGCCACGAGGCCTGTCCCCACCAGCCTGGGCCTGCACGGGGCATGGCCGGGAGCGGAGACTCGGGGAGCCCTCCCGTGGAGGTCTGAGCGCTCGTGGCCCATGCTGACCCTCAGAGAGGATGTCTTTGAGTTTTTTAGCTTCTGTTTATAATGCCTTTTTTAAAAAGCACAAAACAACTCAGCGCCCCCAGCTCGGCGTCCCCAGCATGACTGTGAGCTGCTCTCTGTCACCCGGAGGGCCACCCGTTGGGACCTCCACTTGTCCATCTATTTGACCCTGCTCTGCCCTTATGCACTGGGAGGGTATGAGAGCCTTTACCTGTCCCTGAGAATCACCCCCCCGGGGGGGCCCGGGCAGAGCCCTGCTCTGTGCTGGGGGTGGCTCAGCTTCGTGGCTGGCCGGGAAGGGCCAGGGCAGTGTGGGCCAGTGGTCCTCTCTTGTCCCATGGATGCTCCAAGGAAATCCTGCTTTGTGTACCCGACACAGGGAGCTAAATCACGGGGCACCCCCGTTGCTGGCGGGCCAGCCCAGGTGGCGGCTGCAGGCACTTGGGGGCTGTGGGACAACTGCCCGGGGCTCAGTGTCCTACCAGCGGGCGCCTGGCACGGGCGCACACGGGCAGCTGTAATCTGAGACTCGGCTGACTGCCCTGGTCGCCACTGCAGCCACCACCTGCGTGGCCACCTGCGTGGTCACCTGCATGGTCACTGCCCATTTCCAGCCTGGCAGAGCAGGGCCATGTGCATCTCACACACTGTGCATCCCCTGCCCAGGCGTGACTGTGGGCCGAGCGAGAAGGCATCCACACGGGCCTTCCCATGGGGCAGCTGGCCAGGTACAGGGTCCCAAGCCCCTCAGAGGTGGAGGGATTCGGAACAGCTAGATGGCCCCCATCCCCAGCCTGTGGGTGGCCATCGCCCTGTCCCTGTGCCTCGGTTGGCTCTGCTGATGGATAGGGCCCGGAAGTGGCCTTAAAGTCCAAGGAACACACAGCTGGGGCAGCCTGGTGCCCACAATGGAGCGAGAGACGCATGCCCTGGCGTCCTGGGGGCCTGGTCTCCCTGCTCTGGACAGGAGGCTGCTGCCCGGAGGGCCCCAATTACCGGGAGGGGCGAGGGTAGCCTTGGGGCCGGGGGGTCTTCCAGAGTGGGGCGTTGGTGACCTCTGGCTGCTGAGGCATGAGTGGGCTGGCTGGGAGTGGCTCTGAGTCACGTCCTCTCCCCTCCCCGGCCGGTCCCCACAGCCAGAAGCCCAGATAAACCGGGCCTCTGTTTTCCCAAGGAGGAGGGGACGGGAGACAGTATTTCCCTTTCCTGTGACTGGACCTGCCTTTCGCGGTCCTGTGCCAAGGTCTTGGCTCACAGGCCCCTTGGACCCCCTGGCCTCAGCCCATGACTCAGGCCTCCCGGGGACCCGGAACTGCCCGAAGCTAGGGCAGGAAGAGATCCTGGATTAGCGTGGAGGGCAGGTACACGGGCCTTTGTCATCTGCGGCCTGTCCCCAAAGTCCACTCTGGGGAAACGGCACCCCACTAATCCACCACAGACGTGCCAACAAAGGCTTGGCGGTCCACCTGTCAAGGATGCCCGGCCGGGCCCATCTCCAGGCTGCCCTGAGGTTGGCCACCCGTCCCCAGCCCCGTGCATCTGCTCTGAGGCCACGTGCAAGTGAAATCGGACAGCATGTGTCCTTCCGTGTCTGGTCATTTCGCTCGGCAGGGTCCCCCAGGTGTCAGGGTTCCCTCCTGTTTAAGACTGAGTGACCGTCCGCCGTGGGGAGGGACCACGTTTTGTTGGTCTGTTTGTCTGCTGGTGGGCACCGGGCTGCCTCCATCTCCTGGCCACCGTGAACGTGGCTGTGCGAAGGGCCCCTTCCTGTGACCAGTGCATGCGCGTGACCTGAGGTCACACGGGGAGCAGGCTGCCTGGGACAGGTGGGTGGTTCCAGTGGCCGGGAGCTAAGGGACAGTGCTGTGGTCCTGGAGGGGCCCGGGTGGCACCCACAGTGCCACCACACAGGCCTCCTGGCAGCCACAGAAGCCCACCTTCTCGTCACCCTCTGTGTCCACTCACATGCGGCCTGAGTGCGGCTCTGCTTGTCCGCCCCGTGGCTACCCAGAACTCCGTCCGTGCCCGGCCCCCACCTTTGGAACCAGTCCCTGCCTCGATCTCCCCACTCGCCCATGCCAGTGGCAGCCCTGTGGCCAGGGGTCCCGTGTCCCTCCCCCACCAGCCCAGGGCCAGCGGGGATGGGCTCAGGGGCAGCTGCACGCAATGCGCGGCTGGGGACCTGAGTTCTACCCAGCGCGTGCCACCCTGCCCCCCGCCCAGAGCTGCCAATCGGGAGGGCCCTCGGCCTGGGGTGTGCGGACACTGTCCAGCCATCGAGGACGGGGCTCAGGACGCCCCGCACCTT